CCCCCCTCTCTGTACTCCACGATCCACAATCTTCTCAACCACTTGTGTCTATCCACGTGGTTAAAGCGGCAAGTTTCAGGTGGTGACGAAACTTTGTAGACCAGTACTTGAGTTAAGAGGCCTCCTTTGTGCGCGCCCAACAATGTCGTTGGCTGGCGCCACCAGCCATTTGGCTCCGCCCGGTAGGCCATGCCCCGGAAGTTGCGGTGTGTGCACGGCCACCTCGGCAGAAAATGGCCGGGAAAATTAGCGGTTGTTTAAGCCAGGGAGCATGAACTCTCCTCCCTAGTACAAGTTGCGATGGTCAAGTAGTGTAATCCCAAAGACCTGAGAGAGTCATCCTGCAGACTTGCACACAACTCCTCGCAAGAGCTACAGCTCCTCCAGAGTCCTTCACACTGTCTGACAAGGAAGCATCTTCCTAGCATTGCATCGCACCCATCGCCAATGAATTGTGGAGAAGTGGGGGCCTGTTGAGCAGGGGGGAGGGTCTCTCTCTACCCTTACCTCACTCTGTCCTCTCGTGCGGACAATTGTCTTGCTGCCCGGTGAGTTTCCACGTTTGCACACAGCTCCTCTCCTGCTTGCCGTGCTTTCGTTGTTGGCATATTTCAGATTGACCCTTCCCGCTATGCTGCGCATTCTCTGCGCCTTCCGGTTCCCGTCCGGCATCTGGTTTGTGGTCGGTACCGTCGACTGTGTACAGACTTGGCTCCATCTCGCCCTCATTACCCAAGCCATAATTCGGGCAACTGAGCCTTCCTGCCCTTGATGGTCGGACGATAGGCTTCGGTGGACTGCAGCTTGACCGGAGGTTGACGTTGTGACCTAGACGCGAGCACATTAAGCCATTGTTAATCTCCTGAGCAACGTCCTGACGCTGCGAGGGCTCCCCACACCATGCCGAATCCTTTTTCAAAGCACCATCTTCGAGCTTCGGCTCTTCATCCTTGCTGTGAACACAGTTTTCTGCATTCTTCTGCTGCTTGCCTGAACTCCGACCTCCCGCATCATCTTCTTGGTTTTCCCATCGCCCGTAATCCTGTTCGGTGCCAACATGTCCTTGGTCCCATTGTCTCAGATCTTGATATTGAGAAGAATAGCTCACTTCGCTTTGCTGCCTAGTTACACTGCCTCCTTGCTCGTTAGGAAATTGAAAACCGCTTCGCCCTTCTTCGCGTGGTGGTTTGTCAGGAACCTCACAGTCCCCCTCCTCATAGAAAATGCCCGCAGGGACAACCTGGAGAGACGACCACACAAGAACGGACACGGTTAATTGACTGTTAGCGCCGCTGTACGTTTCAACTTCACTTTCCTGATTACTTAATGTGGTTAGCGGTCCTCCTGAACGTTTCAGCAAACCGTGGTTTCCTAATCAGTCAGTGTGCAGCTTTGCATTTGAAGTTTGAGCTCATAACACCGATTTCACCTTTGCACGCAGCATGTGTGCAGCTGCTGCTGATCATCTCCCGACCGGATGCAGCACAGCAGTGTGAAGACTTTCCGGATGTTTGTCCGAACCACGGGACATGTTGGTGGACACAAAACGCCGCCCCATCAAAACCCCGCACCGCCAGTTTCCCGAACCTTTTTTTTTTTTTTTTTTTTTTTTTGAGACGATGCTCCAATCTATTCGTTTTCTGAACCTAAAACCGCGAGTACTTGAGAGCTTTCTGTCGTCCCCTGTGGGCCTCAGATGCGTTTTAAAGTTCGAACTTTGAACGCATCTCACTGGAGCACACAGCCCCCTACATCCATGAAAGCCCAGGCCGTTAACCGGTGTACATTGCTCGACTACTGGTGCTTTGTGATAAACGATAACGAAACAGTTTGTCACAGCCCCTCGTTTGTTGTCCTCTTCTCCATTTTGTCCCTCTCCTCTGCCTGCGGTTTACCGTAGGCAGCTCTGTTTGAGGGATATATATCATCAAACAGCGCTTCCCAGTAAAAACCGTAGGCAGAGGAGAGGGACAAAAGGGAGAAGAGGACGACAAACAAGGGGCTAAAATATTATATACCTCCAAACAAGTTTGAAATTTGAATATGATCAGTCAGGCAGATTCAGACATGGAAACTGGCAGTGCACTGAGGATGAACTTTTTTTTTTTTTTTTTTTTGAACAAACATACACCCCTTCTATTCTGGAGGCGGTCCTCAATCCGGTTGCTCATGACCGGCAAGCATGTGTTTTAAAGCTGAAGAAAGGGGTGAGGAACAGACTGGACAGAAGGTCAGCCCATGCCTTGTGGCACTAGCCACCTTGCAAGGGGAGGGGGGGGACTGCTTCGGGGCGGCCCTCCCGCCAAACCTTTTTTTTTTTTTTTTTTTTAAAGGGCAATAACCTTAAGATATCATCTTTTTCTTGAGCTGACTGTCCCTAGTTAATTCGGAATTGCAGTATTTTATTTTACTCATCTGCTGTTTCCAGTGGAGTTTGAACTCCGCACCTGGTCTGCGTGTTTCAATTTTCAGCAGTTTAGGGGTGTACTGACTGAGCAAGGCCAGTTGGTGGGCAATGGGCAATTCCCTTTCTAAATACCCCTTATTCGACTTAGCCTTTATTTTAAAAAATGAGTTGTATGCAGTGCCGCGTCAGACCTTATATGGCCTAGCCCGCATATGCATACGCCAGCCGGGTAAGATCATCATCCGCGGAGTAACGCATACTCAAAAAGTTGCAGAGTCTTTGAAGCTGCGAGGGATCTCATCATAGTCATACCCGGAGAGGCCATAGCGGTTTTCGGATCAGTACTACCTGATCTAGAGTCCTTCCATGCATGCACGGAAGCAAACCGGCAGGTACAGCACCCTCGAGCACAAGAGGAAAGTCTCTTATAACCACTACGGCAGCCACGACACGGCGTAAAAAAGTGAAATCATACCGGCCGTGATATCCACACCACCCCTCCTCCGTGCATGCACGGACTCGAACCGGTGCCGTTTGCCACAAGAACCAAGTCTCTTATGAGTTATAACCATCACAGCCATGACACGGTGTGCAAAAGCGGAAACACCCTTCTCCGGTCCTGATAAGTTGATATCCACCCCACCCTTGCATGGCTTTAGTGTAGTGCCCTTACTCCCACCCACACACAACAGCCCACAGGCATGCCCACACACAGGTGATTCTCACACATTTCATTTCAATCCCATCCAGCACATGGCCCTCCGATGCTCTTTCACCTGCCCACCTGCACACAGACTCCCGACGTCATCTTTTCGCAGGACCGTCCACCGCAGTTTCTGCATCACTACTTCCCGACGTCAGGTCCATCCGTGCATGCACGGAATTGAACCAGCACCGTTAGCCAGTATCGTTGCAAGGCCACTTCCGCAGCTGCAACGGTTTCAAGTCCACTCGCCGCGAAAGTAAAGCCTGGTGCAACTTGTATTATTATGATATCAGCACATTCACATAACTGAGGGGTTGACATACCCCCAAGCTTTTTATTTCCCATTTTTTCATCACCAGTAACATAACCTACGAATCACACTGAATCCAGTCATTTTCAGGTTAACTCCCTTATTAAGCACACTCCTCTCTCTCTCTCTCTCTCTCTCTCTCTCTCTCTCTCTCTCTCTCTCTCTCTGTGTGTGTGTGTGTGTGTGTGTGTGTGTGTGTGTGTGTGT